TGATCAGTGCAGTGTAACAGACGATATTTCTGATAAATTGCATGAGCGTTAAAATTGTTTCCATTGCCGGTATTGGTGTTTTCAACCGATGTGCATTTTGTACGATATTGCAGACCTTGGTCTTGTTTTCGTTGTAATAAAAGTGTTGTTTTTTTTTTGTTTTTTTTTATTTTGCACATTAAGTTACAATGACATTATCAAATCTCACAATGCCCAGCGATATTTCAGCAGCCGTCATGTTTATTTACATTGGATATTGTAGTTCCGGGCAGTGTTGTAATTAATACGCTAAGAATTGTGTCTCGTGCGGCATGGTAATTATGTCTCGTGCGGCATGGTAATTAAAGTCCCTTCAACGACACAGCTCTCAAAGAGGCTATATAGTGACAATGCCATGCAAATGTAAATATTGTAATATGAAGCGTGGATAGGGTATCAAGCACAGAAACAGATCCGCTTTTGAGAGTGATAGGAGTATTTGTACGAGTGGTTTTTACATATGATTGGATTTCAAAATGTTTAAGACATGTAGAAATGGACATATTATTTTAAGTGCTTCTTTATTTTAAAGAATTAAAAACATTTTTTTTTTATTCAAATTGAGCCTAATCAATTATTATCGGAAGAACATTTCTAAATATGGGTAGTCAATGTTTACGAAGAAGTTTCGATAATGACCTTTGAACATGAGAGCTGTTGATTATCATGGTATGGTTCAAAAGTATTTTCTGGTTTTAGAGTAACCTCCCTTTGTCCTATGTGAGCTAAGTTTTATTCAACTCTAGTATATGTATATGCAGTTAAATGAATAGATTGTCAAAGTAGGTCTTAGCTGATTATTAATAGATATACATAGATAAATCACCACAACTCTGTGTTTTAAATACTGTTTTGATCATACTTTGTGTAGAAATTCTGATAAATCCTTAAACAAGTATTTACCAATTCTTTAATTAGTTTTAGGTCTGTTTATTTTCTAGCTAGTAGTTGTATGACCTAAAATGAGCTATGAATTCACCAACACGTTGTACTCAACTGTGTCGATAGAAATTTGTTACAGACTCAAGTTTGAAACAATCATATACTGGAGACTACTTAAGTAGTACCGGAGCGGCAAATTTGCTTGTGTGTTTATTAACCGTCCACCCTACCCTTTACTTATACATTTAGTATTTTATATTTATTTCCGTATGCCTAAAGTGTTTTCTTGTAATACGTTTAACACTTATTTTTGTACTATATGTACCTGCCAGGATGCGTTTTTGGATTATTTTTCAAATTAACAGTAAATTTTAACGAATATAGATAAAGTCAGCACGCTGCTATTAATAGCACGAATACATGGAACATCTCACACAGCTTTCATCATACAACAACAGTCAGGTACCTGTAAACAATAAAGCACCTCACCTGTATTTGATATTGGAAATAATCGATAATATAAAAGGCGAGGTAAGCAAACATGAGATCAACAATTTCATTCATTGCCACAAGCATCTCAGCAATATTAATGTAAACATGATGTTTGAGTTACTATGACAACCACGACTTAAACAATAGACGGTATATAACAATAGGAAGTGGTGTTGACCAACGAGTGCTGTATTTCTGTAGTAGGTTTATAGAGCAGTGTTGTTGTTTTAGTGTTTTATACATGTAATAGATGCAGAGAGTCGTGCTGTTTCTGAGTGTTGTATACACGTATTAGATTAAGTGTTGTATACATAATATTAGATCAAGGGGAGCAATGTTGTTTCTGGGTGTTGTATACATAATATTAGATCCAGGGGAGTAATGTTGTTTCTGAGTGTTGTATACATAATATTAGATCAAGGGGAGCAATGATATATCTGGGTGTTGTATACATAATATTAGATCCAGGGGAGTAATGTTTTATCTGGGTGTTGTATACATAATATTAGATCAAGGGGAGTAATGTTGTTTCTGGGTGTTGTATACATTATATTAGATCAAGGGGAGCAATGTTATATCTGGGTGCTGTATACATAATATCAGATCAAGGGGAGTAATGTTGTTTCTGGGTGTTGTATACATAATATTAGATCCAGGGGAGTAATGTTATATCTGGGTGCTGTATACATAATATCAGATCAAGGGGAGTAATGTTGTTTCTGGGTGGTGTATACATAATATTAGATCCAGGGGAGCAATGTTGTTTCTGGGTGTTGTATATATAATATTAGATCAAGGGGAGTAATGTTGTTTCTGGGTGTTGTATACATCATATTAGATCAAGGGGAGGAATGCTGTTTCTGAGTGTTGTATACATAATATTAGATCCAAGGGAAGTAATGTTATATCTGGGTGCTGTATACATAATATTAGATCAAGGGGAGGAATGTTATATCTGGGTGTTGTATACATAATATTAGATCAAGGGGAGGAATGCTGTTTCTGAGTGTTGTATACATAATATTAGATCAAGGGGAGGAATGCTGTTTCTGAGTGTTGTATACATAATATTAGATCAAGGGGAGGAATGCTGTTTCTGAGTGTTGTATACATAATATTAGATCAAGGGGAGGAATGCTGTTTCTGAGTGTTGTATACATAATATTAGATCAAGGGGAGGAATGCTGTTTCTGAGTGTTGTATACATAATATTAGATCAAGGGGAGGAATGCTGTTTCTGAGTGTTGTATACATAATATTAGATCAAGGGGAGGAATGCTGTTTCTGAGTGTTGTATACATAATATTAGATCAAGGGGAGGAATGCTGTTTCTGAGTGTTGTATACATAATATTAGATCAAGGGGAGGAATGCTGTTTCTGAGTGTTGTATACATAATATTAGATCAAGGGGAGGAATGTTATATCTGGGTGCTGTATACATAATATTAGATCCAGGGGAGCAATGTTGTTTCTGGGTGTTGTATACATAATATTAGATCCAGGGGAGCAATGTTATATCTGGGTGTTGTATACAT